CCTGTTGCTAGTTAGCCAACCAGCAACGGGCATGAAACTGTATGCAGATGGAGAAGGGCAATCACCCTTAATGGGCGATCAATGGTGAAGGGCAATCACCCTTAATGGGCGATCAATGGTGAAGGGCAATCACCCTTAATGGGTGATCAGGATATGCATAGGGGATTAAGGGGGGGGGGAATACAAAGAACACAACAACTTCCTTCAAAATGGCTTTCCAACCTCTTCTTAAAAATCTCCAAAGATGAAGAACCCATACTTCCATACATAGCTTCTTCTGACAGCTTAGCATCAGGAAGGTTTTCTATTCATTTTAAACACCATCTAGGTATCTGCAACCTATACCCATTATCTCTAGTCCTAGCTTCTGTGGTAATGGAAAATAGTTCCTAACCATCTTCTCCATGGCTCCTTATTATGTGCTTGAACACTGATACCATCTGCTCCCCTCAGGTTTTAGTTCTTCAGATTAAACACCCTAAATTCCTTCAGCCTGTCCTTAAGTTCTTATATCATTATTCTCATCTGTCTCTGAATTTTCAAGAGTTTCCTAAGATGAAAATTCACACGACGCCCCTTTGGAGCTCAGCTTTTCTCTCAGCAAATTCAGGTCATTTGCACAGTCTAGAAGCATTCCCATCTGCCCCATCTTCAGATGACAGATTTTGTTGTTGTTGGACCAGACTTCTTATATAACTCAAATGTTCCTTCCCTCCCTCCCCCCATATAAACACTGTTATGGTTTGTACTTTGTACCTTTGCCATTACTTTAGCTACTGAATGTTTCTCAGCTGGCATCTATCATTTATATTAGATTGTTACCTGGATATTAACTTAATAATTTGGTGAAATTTGATTTGATAAAATTTGTGAAAAATATTTTTCCTTTTAAAATATAGAAACAGAAAACTGATGGCAGAAAAATATCAAGTTTGCCCAGGTTTTCATTGTATTTTTAATTTATGTATTTATTATTTTTAATCATTATTTTTATTTTATTTTTTAATTTTCATAGGGTGCTGGACATGTGTTTATCCAAAGCATGTTTAAACTTAATTGCTGCTGATTGACCTACTACTGCCACTAGAAGTTGGTTCCAAGTTTCTACTACTCTTTCTACTAATTTTCTAAGATTACTTTTGAATTTCCCTCTGAGAGGTTGAGGTTGTGCCCAAGAACAAATCAAGGTTGTTCTTGATTTTTGCTTAATATTAAAAAACTTGTCTTTTAGAACTTTAGAACTTTTTCTTTTTCTATTGATCACATTCTGCTGATGATTTTAAACGTTCACTTCACGGTCTTTGGATATATATTGCAGTCCTTTAAAAAGCAATGGTACATTTTTATTGCAATTGATTAAGAACCATATTATCTATATAAAACAATAGAACCATATTATTTTTATAAAACAATATTATTTAAGCAAGAATTCGCTTCCAAATGAGGGGCAATCTAAGTGTTTATTTCATCCCAATTGTATGACAAAGACAAGAGAAAGCCAAAAGCTGCAATTCTACACACAATGATTGGTGACTAGGCCAATTTTTATCAGCTGACTTTTTAATGAGAAATATAGCTAGGATTACATTCCATAATGATTAAGTATCAGATGTGATCTGGCAAAACCTCTTTTCATCCACTCCATTTTGCAGCTGCAATTCCACTATGGCTTCATTAGTCTTTAATATATAAATTCAGCAAATTTATCTCCAGGCACAATTCCTAGATACACCTGCACATTCTACACATTTCACTTTCAGCCTTGAGTAGCTATATTACTTACAGTGGAGCAGAAGAATACATTGCTATAGATAAATATACTAGTCTCCTTTCTAACCATTATGTGTGTTTGGCTCAGAAATAGACAGGTCAGTTATCTATGTATTGCTACATTGTCCGTTGTACTCTTACTGCCTGGCACTTAGCAACATAATTATTGGAAATGTTACTCATCTTTCTAATCAAGAACTTACAATAATCCTTCTGCAAGATCTAAGACAACCACTATGAAGATTGCCAGTTTTCTAGCAATAGCTATAGTTTGCAGAAGCCAAGTGATACCCTCCTCTCATTATTTCATGTTTGCTTCTTTTCTTCAATGTATATTTGTGTTTTCTCTGGGGCTGTAAATTCTTGCAGGATCCAATATGGAACATGTATATTCAGTGCTTTTTTTCTAAAAAAAAAAAAAAAAAAAAAAAAAAAAGGTGCCGGAACTCACACACGTCATACAACCCGCCTTGCCTACCCTACAAGGTTCCATCCAAAAAAGGTGCCAGAACTCCGTTCTGGCTGTTCTATGACAAAAAAAGCCCTGTGTATATTTATCTTTATTGCTGTACATTCTTATAAAGTTGCATACTAAATCAGTTGTACACTGAATTCCTATGCCAAAATATAACAATGCAGATAACTTAATTATTCCAGCAACTGTTGATATCCATATCCATGCCACCACCATTAAACACGGAAATAAACATGGCTATGGTATTTTAGCAAAATTAAAAGCATAAAATGATTGGCTATAAAATTCCATCCCAGCATTTTACATCCAAAAAGGATTCTGTAGAAGTTCACACAGGGATACAGAAAGACACCCTGGAGTTGTGTGATCTCAGGATCAATTATGGAGAGAGGGTTCTTCTTTACGTAGAATAAATCATCACATCTGACTAACCTTCAAGGGCTTATAGTCATACCCTGGAGATTCAAAGACTCTGTTATCAGTCCAGATTAGGGATGAGACCGATTTGTTTCCCTTCTGGAAGCATTTCCTCTCAGTACTAAATTACATTATATGTGTGTTGAAAACACTTTCCCAAAGGTTGGAACTTTTTGTAAAGCACCAGGTCCTTCAGAAAAACATGTAATGATCATACAGATATAGTAGATGCCCCAGAAACTAATCAGGCTAATTTATTTAGTGAGTTAGATTTCCTATTCAGTGTGAATTATATGGCTGAATCAGTAGCTGAAAGGAAGTGAATTTTTCCCCTTACAAGTTGATTCTAAAGATTTGATCTGAGTTATATTCCTCAGATTTCCTTCACCATGAAAAACACTGACACGGCTATCTCAGATATTGCTTCTACCAACTTAGTCATTTAAGGCAATTGGTTTATGAAAAGCTTCCAAGGGTGCTTTGCCCAAGACAGAGGTCCAAGTGAATCCTGTTGTTGAAGTTGATTCATAAGGCACAGACACACAAATGAGTAGGAACTGTTGTGTTACTTTACTTACTTATAGATTATAGATCAATATAAGTAAATGTCAGCTTTGCAAAATTTTCAGAAGCATCTTTCTCTTTCAAAGAATTTGCAAAATGGAGAAGCATTTGAACCCCATCCCCATATACATAAAAAAGGAAGTACTACAAGAGAGAACAGTCCAGTGAACACACAAAGGAACAGTTTTAAAGATTTATTGTATTTAATTTTCTTTTTCTGGTAGGCAAAAGAGAATAATAATAATCTGCTAGTACTTTTGGAGTGATGTCTGTTGAAGAATCTGTTAAACTGTGGTTTCATTTATTGTGGTCTAATTTTCATATCCGCATACTTGTAAGAATATTGATACCCCTTCCCAGTATACCAGTTGATGCCATCAGCATAAGAGGTATGTTCCCCTTTGTGATACAGGCCATTCAGGTTGGAAGAGTGGCAGGCACCATACCACCAGCCTCCCTTGTAATTTGCAGCACAACTTGAGGGTTCAAAGTCATCATTGTCTTTGTCTTTAGTAGAGAATGCCAGGCCATTATGTCCTGAGAAAGAATCACCTAAAAGGAGAAAATCACAGAGATAGCACTGAGTTCATGTATTCCAGGAATGGAAACCTGCCAGATATTTTAGTAATGAAAAAAGCACCTTCTTCACTGAGAATTAGAAAGAGATTGAACATTATTTATTTGCACAATATCCTAGATTTGAACTTTGGCATCATTAGCCAACCCTGTCAAAATGATACAATGTATGTTTCCAGTCGTTTCTGTTTCTTGAAATCATGGTTAGCTTAACTTAAGTTGTTGAATATACCACTGTGAGGTCCACCTTACAGGCCACTTTATAGATCATGATTGATAAACCAGAATGTTTAATGTTAACACATTAAGCCAAACTATGGACAACCTGACTGAGATCACATTTTGTTTTCTGGACCAGTTGAAGGGTTATAAGCATTCCCTTGATATGCTATCAGAACTAGAAGGAGCGGGATGGAAGTTTTATTTACCCTGCTCTTTGGGGAAGGTTTAAGAAATTATGTCACTGGGGAAAAAAGGTATTTACTGCTGAGTTTCAGTGGTGCATCAGCCATTGATTGCTCACTCCAACACTAATCCAAGGAAATAGAAATATTTTTCCTACCATATAGGTCAGGAATATGCATTAATAAATCAATTTCTATCCCACATTTTAAATCTGGTATCCTCCAAATGATTCAGACTTCACCAAAGTCAAGATGATGCAATAAAATAATGTGTCAAAGTGCCATCTCCTATGATAGGAAGAGAACTTTGGGGTTTCCTAATGAAATTGTCAGCCGTTCCATTTGGCACATTCAGACAAAGAAACTCTCGGCTCTTTTAAATTACCAAGAGTCTAGCTTTATTGAAAGATCCATCTAGGTACAGCAGAAGCAAAGTCAGTTCTGGGATTTTCCCGTGAAAACCCATATAAGTAAAACCCCTTGTCCCCCTCTGGGCCACCCACAGTTCATAGTTCACCAACTGAGTTCAGTTATTTTGTTTTGGGAAAAGACTCTTTGCACCGCTCAAACATTTCATAACTTGACCTTGGTGGCTAACATCTCATTGGCAATGGAAGACACTCTTGCATTCCGAAATTTCCCTTCCCCCCTTAGGAATTCACCCATCCCCCTCCCTTAATGGGCGATCAATGGTGAAGGGCAATCACCCTTAATGGGTGATCAGGATATGCATAGGGGATTAAGGGGGGGGATACAAAGAACACAACACCCCTCCCCTCAAAGTTCTTGCTATCGTCCTTGGTGAATAGTGGTTACATAGTCCTTCAGATATGTGGGAGGCCGATGCCCTCGCGCTGATCGGCGGGGAACC